GGCATTTGTATATAAAGAGAATAGTACAGTCCCTGGAACACTACACCTGATCAATAAATGGTTACTGATGTGGATATTATGATAATGTGTGTTCTTAGTCACATACAATTAGCATGCCTTTGGGGAATGCCTGAGACTTCTTTGTATATTTCAGGGATTCTGATTGAAAATCAGTAGGATTTCAGAGCAAGGGTTGTTGGACAGTTTGCTGTGCACACCCAGATGCTTGGCCAGAAAAAGGCCACTTAGCAACTGTGTCCCTTTGTAGCAGCTGATTACAGAACTGTACTCAGTTGATTGTTGTATTAAGACTGCAGTAGGCAGGGAAGCCCTGCAATGGCCTCTCTCCTTCCCTGGACTTTGTTTTCTAGATCTGATGAACAGAACTTTATCTGCTTGCATCACACAAGTGTTGCCGTGTGTGTTAAATTCTGCATGTGTGTGCCTGAAAGGATGAGTGCGTGCAGGGACTTTAGTGTCTGTATATATGTGTATATGCATGCATGTGCCTGTGTATGACTTATTTTGTGTGTTGATAAGTGTGTTGGCAAATATTTCATTTTCCTCTGATCTTGGATACCTGGTTGCCCCTGGTAACTGTGCTTGAATCTGCCAGGGACCAAGCACTTCCTGAGACACATGTGGTCACACATCCCCTCTTTCAACCCGGCCACTGGCCATTGCAAATTTTTCCAGCAAGTTTCTCTTGCTGTGGAAAGAACCTCTCCCCTCTCTGTAGCTCAGCACCCAATATATCAAGTTCAGAGGTGAGTGAATGAAAGCTGGAAGCAGGATCTGATATCATTGATAATTGTCCCTCCCTCCTTTGTAGGAGGTGACTATTAGCTCACCCGGTTTATATGAAATCTGTGCACTTCTTTCGTAAGTATCCTAACTGCATACCAGGGAGATGGGAAAAAATTAAAAAATTAAAATTATTGGGATAGGAAATTGTTACCTAACTGGAGTTGCCTGGTATGAAGGGTGAGTATAATAAGAATCAAGCACAATTTCATTTATTAAAAGCAACTGCTGGCATGAAATAAAATAATGATTTAGTTACAGCAAATATTACAATAGGAACAGAAATTCTATCTCTTTTATTGTGTCCAAAGCAAGGAAAGGTCAGTTCAGACTTTTTGGAGCTTTTATCAAATCTTGTGTTGTCAAAGCTAGGAGCACAAAACAAGGCTTTTGTTAAGATATAGATATTAATCTGTGAGCATGTACCTTGGGAGAGAAAGATGAGTTTCTCAGGAATCTTTACTCAATATTAAGGCAGAGGCCCATGAGTAAGGAAACTCTTAAGTCTTAGAAGCATAAATTCACACAGAGATCTAAGCTCTCCATGGGACCTTGCCCATATCTGTGACTATTAAATGAGAGGGCATAGGCCAGTGAGTGTTTTTTGTTTCTCCTTAGATGTGTCTTTGGTCTTTCAGTGCTTGAAAAGATACAACTAGGTATGGAATTTGTGTAACATTTGGCAAAATTTGGAAGGATTTGAAATTTAGGAACAGGGATGCTTTTCCTTTAGAAAACATAGCCCTGCCCAGGCTCGTGTGACTCAGTTGGTTGGGCATCATTCCACAAAGCAAAAGGTCACTGGTTTGATTCTCTGTCAGGGTACATACCTGGGTTGCAGGTTCCGTGCTCGGTTGGGGCACATTTGGGAGGCAATCAATCAACATTTTGCTCTCACGTTGATGTTTTGCCCTCTTTCTTTCTCCCTCCCTTCCCCTTTCTTTAAAAGGAAATAAATAAAATCTTTAATAATAATAATAAAAGAAAACATAACCATTTGTTTCCAGGTTCATCTGTCTGTTCAGATAATCTCAAAACGTCTGCTGAGTTTCCACAACCCCGGTCTTTAGAGTTTGTCCCCAGTGTTGGAGAAGTCTCTCATTGGTACAGGGACACAGTAATAAGGGCCAGACACTCTACTTTCACTTCCTGGAAGTTGAGATCTTGATCATGAAAACTGCACTCCTCAGGTTAGTCCTACTTGACTCAAGGATGACAGTGGAGTTGTTTCTTGTATGAAGGCTGAGAAGTCAGAGGGGAAACTTGTGATGCAAAAGGTAGAGATAGGAGCATGTGAATTGAGGGGTCCAGGGCTCAGGCTATAGAGATGACTGGGAGTATGGAAGTTCATTATGCAATGGTGCCTAAGACCCTCTGAGAGCCAAATGCTAAGGAGCCTAGTTGTGCATCCTTAAATAAAGATAGCCACTCCTTTAAGGCTGAGACCTAAGCACAGAGATGAGAGTCTGAGTGCAGAGATGAGAGAAGAAACAGAATCAGCTAACACTTAAAAGGAGTTCATTCCACAAGGCCATTGGAACACTTCTCTGTGTAGTACAGCCACATTCTATCCTAGGAGCTTTCCAAGAACTTGCATGTTCAAGGAAACTCTTAGGTTAACTGAAAATTAGAATTGCTTCTCAGTATGTTCTTCACATTGCCCCCTGGTCAACATGGGGGACTCTGCATATAAAGGGTGAGGAGGGCATGTCTCCACCTCAGAGCATATCTTAGACCCACTTGATCAGCAAAGTTTCACTCATGACTGCCCACGCCAATGGGGCAGAATCCAGCTCCTGGCCACAGCATGCAGAAACAAGCAGATAGCATTTCTTCACCCCACAGAAGAGGGTAGGGAGCAAAGCCAAGTTTTATTATTAAACAACTTTAATCCAAATGCTGATTATTATTTGCAGTGTCTGAAGGCACAAAATATACCTAAACTGTATGGAATAGTCTAAACAGTTATAAATCCAAAGAGCAAAGCATGAAAAAAATGATACATTCTGAGCTGAGACAGAAATCTGAGTTGGGAGAATTTTTTTCTAGAGAACTTCTTTGAATATTAATCATTTTCTCTCATGCCAAGGTTAGGACATTTTTTAAAGTAACATAAATATGGTGAAAAATCATACCATGAGAGATGTTCTCTCTCTCTCTTGCTCTCTCTCTCTCTCTCTCTCTCACACACACACACACACACACATACACCCCTTGTGCGCCATCTCTCTCCTCTCGCTGACGCCCATGCTAAGCAAAGCTGTCTGAGAAAACATCCATGATATTCCCCAAAGACAGGTCATCTTGGGGGGAAAACAGACTTGGGTTCAAGATAAGGCAGTGAGATCAGAATTTGATTTAAAAAATAGAAAGATACATGTGACAAATGACCATCCATGGCAGAGCCCCCAAAGTGCTGCTGGAAAGAAAATGGAGCCTGATCTTCTTCAGGGTAATAACTGCTCACCTGGGCATGGCCATGAGCATGCACCCAGCTTCCAGCTCTACTCATTCTGATTGGAGAAACATCAGTCAGTGCATCTCCTGGTAGCACTGGTATCAGGCCATTCTTAGCATCCAGAGATAAATAACATAATTATAAACACTCTCCTCCCCAGGGTGCTTTCAGCTGACTATGTGGTACAGCCATTCCTTACTGCTCAATCATGTTGTTCGGGACTTAAGGAAAGAAATCAATCCTGGACTAGTTATCACCCTCATAAATACATCTCTGGAGTAACTCTACAAGGCTATTGGAGAGGCAATCAATAGGACTTTGTATTACTCCATGATCGCAGACCCAGGTTCTCATTTCCCTGATTACTCCTGGAGAGGGAGCCCCACCCCTGGTGCCAGCTGCGGGCTGCATTCACCATCCTGGCAGGTGAGGAAAGTGGAATTACCTTAGTCTGCAGAAGGAGAAGAGCTGAAGTGATACAGCTAAGATCACTCAACTCACTCCACGCCAGTAGTTTTTCCGGGTCTAAGTAAAGGAAAAGGAGGGAAGCAAAAAAAAAAAAAAAACATGCTGGGTTCTGGCCCTGTCTGACAGATTGTCTTCAGGGTCGAAGACCCAGAGACATCCTTTTATTTTGGGGGGTCTACTTCCCTGGCAGATGAGAAGTACTTGTCTTCACATTGCACACAGTTATGCTGTTCCTTCTCTAAGAGCCAAGGCTCCTTCTTACCTGAATCAGGCACGTGGTCCATTTTATCATTCCCAGCCCTCCCCATTACCTAGAGCACCAGTCCACTTACCTAGGGCTCTCCTCCACTTCAACAGCATCTTTTTACCTGAAACCACAAAGCTTCTACTCCTTGCATCTATTACCACACTTTCCTCTCTTACCTGGGACCATGAGCCCCAAACAAAACAGCATATTTTCCCTCTACCTGGCCTCTCCTCCCATCACCTCACCTGGTCCACCCACCACACCTTGCATTTCCCTGTACTACGAACCTTCCACCAGGCCAAATCCACCTCTGCCCTGCCCTCCACGAGACAATGTTGAGGCCTGCCTCCCTTCTCTCGTATTCTATCACTTGATTCTTCTAACTAGGAAAACAAAGCAAAAAACAAGGTCAATAGTAGAGCATGTCAGCATCAAAGCCTTCAGAGACCACTGCCACAGTATGGGCACATCTCTTAGGCCCACAGCGCGCTGTGACACACAGTGGGGTGACCAATGGGACTCCCCTGTGTCCTAGGAGCCTCCTGTAGCACAGTAACCAAGTGGGCCAGGCCAATGCTGGTCAAGGCCCACCCTTTATCTACCCAAGAGGAGTAAAAGAGGAACAAGGGGTCAGCAGTTGAGGAAAGTGGGAGGAAACCGTGGACATGACAGCAAGCATCATTTGGGGCTCCTCTAAAGAGATCTGTTCCTCACCTTCCCCTCTCTCTGAGCAGGAAGGGGCTCCTTATCTGATCACTCCTCCTGCCCTCAGAAAGGCTCAGGAACAGGGGGCTTCTTTGGCACTTCAGAATGATCACAAGTAATTTGCCTTTTTATTCATATAGAACAAAATTTACAAAGCCATTCATACAGTTTTTGGGGTTTTTTTTACTGACTTCGAAAATTGGGAATATTCAAAATACACTTTTACCCCACTCCATTCTGTCATTATTTACAGGTATGTACAAGAAAAATGTAAGTCTGTCTCTGTGTGTGTGTGTGTGTGTGTGTGTGTGTGTGTGTGTGTGTGTGTGTGGTTTGTGTTGATTCCTTGTATTAAAAAGCTCTGCTGGTCGGGTGGGTGGATGGTCGGGCGGGAGGGCAGGCGGCGTGGTCAGATGGAGGTGCCGTGGGAGGTGTCCAAGGCCTCTGGAAGGACGCCTCCAGGCACGGGCTGGAAGGACATGGGGATGGGGGTCTTCACTGGGCTCTGGCGGAACAGCCCCCCATTGGGCGACCTGTGTTTGCACTGCATGGAGGGCATGGTGGCCGAGCTGCTCAGTGGCAGTGGCAGGTTGCTGCTGGGCCCTGATGAGAGTGTCCGGCTGGTGCCATGGCTGCTCTGCTCAGGCAAGAAGGTGCTGACTGAGAGCTGGGTGTTCTGGTATTCCCGCGTTGGCTCCAAGGCCTGGCTGGGAGCCAGACCCCCCATCTCCAAGGCCGAGAGCTCAATGGATGCTGGGGAAATCTGCTTGTGGGCAATGTCTTCATCCATTAGACTGTTCATACGCCGATGGACCTGCTCCAGATTCACTTCTTTGTCCTGGAGGGAAAGCACAAGAAGGTCAGGCTGAGCCCTATCATGAGCCCAGGCTGGCTGTCTACAACTCTCGAGGCCTGAAGACCCCAGATCTATTTGGCTGGGTGGACAGTGGGGGAGCATTCTTCCATTTCTCCCACCTTCCTTCAGATATATCCAGCCCTCAGCTTTATGGGACCAGCAGCCTAGGACACTGCCCCCAGGGAACAAGGATTCCACAAGCCAGCTTTGGCAGTATGTGCCTCCCCTTCATACTCTGCTCAGAATCATTGCCTTCATACCCAATGATCTTGGGAGAAAATGCTTTGAAGAACTGGCAGACAGAGAAAGAGGAAGTTTACCTTGGGAGCAAAAGGGAATGGTCCTAGAGCCCCTAAAGTGCCCCATGTATTTGCTACTTAGAGTTTATAATGCTCAAAAGACTTGGTGTACTCACTCCCACCCTACACAAAGGAAGCTTAGATTCAGAAATATAAATGAGTCCTCAGAGACACACCCCAGTGAGAGACAGAGGTAGTGCCTGGAGCTGGAGGGAAGGCCCTGTCTCACCCTGAGGCTTGTTTTCTTCCTGAACAAAATCTCCATGGATATAAGGGAGGGGGAATTTCCTTGTCTGGAAAGCTCAGGGGTCCTGGTTCCAGGATGGGGATGGGAGTGAGGGGTGGGAATGGGGGTGTATGGTGGGGATGGTGAAGAAAGGGACTTCCCAGGGGTCAGCTGACTCTGCTGGTATCATAAGGCCTTGGCTGTTAAGATGGGCATGGCTGTAACTCCTGAGCCTCTCCACATGATGAATGACATCAAGAAAATCATTTTATTTGCTTAAAAAAGAAAATAGAACAAATGTCACTCCTTTCAAATAACTTGATTTGTTGACAATGTCAGAATAAATCAAGGACATCAACTGCTTTAAAGCTCCTTAAAAACAAAAACAATAGAATCTGCTTCCTTGGTCTCCCATGGTAAAGTGGGGCACAAGACCAGATGCCCAGTGGAGGAACCACGACAGCCTCTCAATGAGGTGTTAGAATTTGCAGATCTATTTTCAGGCATTGTGAGTGCTGATGTGCCAGGCAAGGTCAAGGTCATGCCTCCTGACTATACTTCCCTGATGTCAAACTCCAAGAGAAATACCATGTCAAAGCCCAACTCTGAGACAAAACACCACAGGCTGTCTAATGTTGATATCCATATGGTGGAAAGAAGAACCTGTCCTCTGCCCATCTTGTAGGGTTGTTAGAAAAACCAAAAAATGTGAAAGCCCTTAATGTGCTTTCAAAAGAAAACAAAAGAAGAAACCACACAGATCAAAGGACAATTCCAGTGGCTGTTTGAGCTCTTATAGTGCTGGAAGGAGAGTGTTTACCCCAGGAAGTAGAAACCCTAAATAACTAGTTTGAACTCCCCCTCACTTGAGCACACAACCATGTGGTTGACCCCCATGAAGACTCAACCCAGCCTTTCTCAGGCAAAGAAGCTGCTTCTGCAGTTCACTCCTTGCTCCCAGCACCCACTTGGGTAGAGAAAACAGAGCCATTGCTCCCTTCACACCTTTGTCAAGCGTATGACTACTGCACAGAGCTTGGCTTCCAGTGTGACACTTGCTGTTTTTTCCCAGAACCTCTCCCAGGACAAAAAAATTGATAACATATAGGCCAGGAGAAAACCTGAGAAAAAGAAAGCCAACTAGTTTGAGGGTGGAAGAGACTATGGGGTATGGCTTGGTGTCATAGATGGAAATGATATCAGATATCTGTGGACAGAGCCAAGATTCCAGTGATCTGAAGCTCCACAGAGTGGAACTCTGCTGGTTGACTTTGAGAGACCATCTCTGAGTTGGGATCACCTTTGGGTGGCAAGTATCATGTGTAAAATTGGGGAAAGTGGCTGGGGACCACAAAAAACTTACATTGTCCAACTAAGTATGATGCATGCAATGTCTTTCACTGACTCCTTCAACAGTTTGTAAAATATATAACAAAGCAAATTGAATTTCTTTCCTTAATTGCCTTACAGCATGATTGATCCTTTTCTCTATGCAACATTTCCTCCATTTTATTTATGCTTGCTTTTAGTTTCGCATGTGAAACTATTTCTAATAGTATTTTTTTTAAATGTTATGGTGAGTACTGGCTGTTTCAGGGCTACTCAGCATCAGTTCACCCTATCTAAGAAAACTGGTTTATTTGCTTTGGGGGAATTATTTCTTCCCTTCTGGATAGGAGTTTAAGTGCCCTGACAACCTGTAGCCAATGGGCAGGACCATGACTCAAGCAAAGACTGACTCTGAATCCTGAACAAAGAGATAAAGAGACAGAAAGTGGTTGATGTTATATATATTACAGCAGTAGTTCTTCAATAAGCTTTCTGCTCTATGACCATCATATTGCATCTTGCCCCCCAGCCCTCTGGACAAGTCTTGGCTCCTGCTTATCACCCAGCCAACCTCTTCTGCCTTCTCATGGCTGCTGTGAGCTCCCAATAAACTTATGATATGGCTCCTTTGTCTGCATTAGGCAAAGTCAGTGCCATGGCTGTATTGGAAAATATTTGTATCTATAGACTGTTTTCATTTCAAAATGTGTGAAAGTCACAAGACTGGAACCAGAGATCCTGGAAGCTGAAGAAACTAAGAGATAATTTCAGACATTCTTGGGGTTTAATAATATAAGATTCCCTTCTCTTTTCAGCCAGCAAAGCTTGGAGAAGGCTGGAAAAGCAGAGTACCCGTCTGGCAGAGCCTTTAGATTCCATCAAAGGAAAGCTGATGACCAAGTAAGTGGTCCTTGGATCATTGAGAAAACTAGTTAGTTGCATAATCTTGCCTCTCCCCCTTTCTACTTTTCTTTCAGGGCTTCAAGGATCCCATTGGATATAGAATGAAGTCAAGTTTAAGAGCAGATTAACTTAAAGGGGGAGACAAGTGCCTTAGTCCCAAATGTGTTTGCTTTGGATCTTGGCATTTAGAACAAAGGACTTCGCTCTTTTTATCAGTCAAATGAGCACTGGGCCAGGACAGGTGTTCAGGACATGCTGTTCTCTGTTTCTAGACCCCAGCTGTTTTGGGAGAATTTCCTGCCAAAGAAGGCCACAGGGAGGCAGAGTTGAGAGTTGAGGAAAAGTGAAAAGGGCCCTTCTACCTAATGCCAGGGAGCTTTGGGGCAAGACCCGCCAACCAAACCCTCTGAAAAATGTGAGCAAAGTAGGTCTTCAAAATGAAATCCTTTACCAGTGAAGGACAAGGAATAAGAGGTTTGGTGGGGAGGAGGGGAGGAGTGGTATGAAGTGGTAGGGAGCCAACACCAATAATCATAGCTGTGAGGAGCAGATCAGGTAACATCAAAGCTTCTAGAATAAAGACCAACCCAGGCTGTTGTTGTGAAGATGATCAAATTACCCTAGAGTTAGTATTTTTGGAAGAAAGAGCTTGAATAAATAGCTTCATCAATCCACAGTTATTTTTTTCTTGCCTTAAATTAAGGACAAATAAAGCAGTTCCAAGAAGAACTGCAAAGCATGCAGTGGGTATTAACCTTGACTTGAGGTTATTTATTAGCCTGTATTGTCCATGCCAGGATAAAAAGAAAATGTCCACACCACTTGAAGAAACTCAAGGGTTACCTTCTCACCTCAAATGGCAGTCAAGAATTCATCCTCTTTGCACCAATGGGACCTCATCCTATCCAAATTCTATTCCTGGCAGTAGCCCCAAAACAAAGCAAACCCTGGAGGAAGAGGGTGCCATCACAAGATTCCTGCATTTGTTGTTTAACTGGACAAGAAAATAAATGGAACTTCAGCAAACACCTCTGAATTCTCTCTGGAAAACCAATGTGGCCTGTTTCTGAGTCTCCCAGTATGCCCTCCATGTTGCCTGCTCCTGCCATTGTCCAGGGATAGAGCTGCAGTGCAGAGAACTGGAGGAAACCACCTTGTTTGGAAACCCTAGGAGCACTGTCTTCTTGGATCACCTGGGGCCACAGATTTAGCATGCACTGTTATTTTTGGTGGCCCCCAGGCCAAGGTAAGAGGCTGAAATAATCTACCTACTCAAGGAAAGAGTGATCTGAATAATCATCTATATTTTAGACAAAATGGGGCATTCTATTATGTTATGCAAAATCAAATAATGAGCTTTTTAATGTGAACTACATCAGTTTATACCCTCATTATCCCAAGGTTTCAGCGTTCAACCAAGTAATGACAGCTATGGAAACTTGGAAACTTGCTGCTCCCTTCATTAATTTATTGTAGGTAACTAACCTAGTGAAATATCCCTGACTATTACATAAAATTTACTGATGGCATTAATCCATGAATCCAGCTGAATTCCAGCTCTGTGTTTCTTACCTCATATTAAACATGATGACAGATGTACCAACAGAGGTTACTGGGGACCCTTTCCCAGTCATTGTCTTGCAGAGAGATAAAGTTCTGTAATTAAGCTGCTGTTCACCAATGTGGAAATAACACAGTGTATTGGAAAACAGTAATTAAGTAAACTATCATCTATGTAACAGCCAGGCACACGGGGGACTCATTAGAAATGACTTTGTTTGGCATCCAATGGCTTCTACTTTAAGTCGGGCAGGAACAAAATGTATTGAGGGACTTCCCATCTGGGATGCTTATAGGAGGTGTCCTTGAGACCAACCAAGTGGTAACTGAGACCCAACATCTGGGTGAAACACCATCAACATGATCTTAAGTGTTGCTCCAAAGACTTTCCTGACCCCAAAGAGCTGGGCTGGGAGTCTGAGACTAATGATTGTATAAGTGCAAAGAAGCTGAATGTAACTTCAGTGAAGTAGTCTCAGGGAATGCTGGGCAGTTTTTCAGGGCATGATGAGAAAAAGTTCTAATGGGCTCAACTGAAGATTTTGTAGGGGAGGGCAATGAGAGGAAGGAGCTAATGATTGCAGCAGGAATACATGGAGTGAACAAAGGCCAGGGATAAACAGCCTTGCTCAAGGTCACAGAATTCCACAGTAAGTGAAGTGTCAGGATCAGAGCCAACATCTGCCCAGCTCCCAAATGGTTGCTGCATGTTCCCAATTTCCCCTTGGCAGGATTTTCACCCTTGCCAGGACATCAAAGCACATGTGGAGCGTCTAGAAATTACAGTTGTCCAGATCTACCTAATACAGCCCTTTGGAAAATGGATCTCAAGCATCTGTACTTTGAAAAAGCCCCAGGATTAATGACCCCTGATGTGCAGCAAGAATTGAAAGCCATTGATCCAGCTGCAATGATTTACACAACAATTTAACATTAATAACGTTTTCTTTATAGACACCCAGACTGGTTCATTCCTTCGATAAATACTTTTGAGCTTCTACTACCAGATGAGCTAACGTTCTTGGTAAAGCATCCATCTTGGTCCCTGGCACATAGAAGTTGCTCAATACTTCAGTTATATTCATCATCCATTAACAAGAGATCATACTCTTTCAGAGACTGGGCAAAGTGATGTGGGTGTAGAAGTGGGAAGAGCCAGCAAACCTGAAGCCAAGATAGGCAAGTACAGCATCGGTGGCAATTTGGAGTCACCTCTGGCATGAATGCAGCCCATGGAGGTAGGCAGAGGAGGTTTTACGAAGGGGAGCCATATCTGAGCTGCTTGTGACATATATATGGTGTATGACAAGTGTTCATGCCTTCTTCCTGGAAGGCCCTGGGGTAAGGGCTGAAACACACACCTCCTTCCTTCCCTCTTGTGCCAAGTGGTATGATTTCAACAGCGCAGGCATTGAGCCGGACTTAGTTTTCAGAAGAGAGAAAGTGGGGTTCAGTTTCTCTCTGGCTTTAGGAAGAATGCTCGGTTACACTCTTCATTCTCCAAACCCTCTGAAAAATTCTAAGAGGAAACTTCTGCTCCTGTACACAGCTGATGAAAGGCCCAATGACAGACACTTCACTCATACCCCAGTTCTGCCCAAACCACTTCTGAGTCCCATTTCCCCTGGGGTGAGGAGACCTCCCTCAAATATTTTTTGAAGAGACTCGAAGAGAGTTAAGTAACGTATCATTTTCTTGGCACAGGGAAGGTGCACTAAAGATGTGACCTGTCATCCCTACATCCTTTCCTGCCCATCACAAGGTCCTTTAAGGAAGTGGCCCCTTTGCCACCATTCACCAAGCACATCCAATGGGACAGGTGCTGCATAGGGCACTTTGTATACCTTCCCTCTTTGAACCCCAGGGCCACACTGTCAGTTTGGCATAAACAAAGAGAGAAAAGGTACCAGAGAGACAAATATCCACATGGAGTTTAAAAAGCATCAGAGGCTTGGAGGCAGGGAAGGGCGCAGAGTCAAAGGATCCCAGGATCAAATCTCCCACAAAGAGCAAGTGGGCATGCAGACCTAGGCCAGCCCACTGGCCACATGGAGGGGCCCATCTACTCCTCTGCCACTGCTGTCTGGCCCCCCTGGCCTCTGTCAGCTCCTGTCTGCAGAGGATGCAGGGGCCATAGAGGGCAGGCAAGGCAGGAAGCAACAAGAACTCCAAGCTTCCAGCCAGTGATGGATGATTCATCCCTCAGTCCTCATGTCACCTCCCATTTGTGCAGTTCTCATCTTTATTTCATGAATATTTTATTCTGAGAGCAATGATTCCACTTCCCCCATAAATCTAGCGGGTGGCTCTTAACTGCATCTGCAGAGCTTGGTGTGCTCACCTGCATTGGGTAACTATATAATCATCTGATTCCTTAGAAAAAATATGAGCTCAAATCCACATGAGTATTAAGGGGTTGAATGCACATTACTACTCTTCCTCAAGCAGGTGTCTAAACTCTGAAGACGTCTGTATGGGCCATTAAATATGACTGGGACTCCACCCAAAGACAGGTTTCTGGCTCTTAATAAATATGGCCAATGCCCCACGATAAAGCTTTCTAAGATGAACCAGACACTCTTACCCAACTGCAAATTCTGCTCCATAAAACAGCCAACCAGTAACACAAAGTTCTGGATTAAATAACCCTCATTCTTGTTTGAAGGTTTTAAAGGTATGCTTCTACAATCCTGTTGTTTCTACTGCTTTCTTGGTTCCTTTTCCCCTTATAAGAGTCAAACTCCCTAGCATCTAAGTCCTTCAGAGCAAGTCCCTGCTTCCACTCCAGCACCATCCATACCCACCTCCTTGCTGATGTCAATGCTCCAGCCCCCAGAGCTCTGGAGGTGTGATGACTTTGTTTATCCCCATGCTGTTCACCCTGCCTGAAAGGCAACTTCATCTCATCCTAGTTCTAGGATTTGTACAAATCCTTCAACACTCAGCTCTAATAACCCCAACCCCCAAGAACTCTTTACTAACTGGCACCCTACCCTTGATGGCCTCATCATGCCCAGGCTGGCTGGGTGCCCCTCTGTCTCACCTGCCCATGGAGAAGGGAGCCTCTGAGGACAGGATCTGTGTTCCTAAGGTCATATATATTAAAGGAGAAGAAAGAGGGAGGGAGAAACGTCATTTGACAATCAGAAACCCATAAAAGCGGGAAAAAGAGATAGCATTTCCCTCCTTCTTTTCCATGCAACACTCAAAAGGGCTGGAGGAAAGGCAGCTACTGTGTTTTTACAACCTGACTCTTCATCAGTTCTCCTTCCTATTTGGAAGCAGGTTAGCAGTGGCCTGGACAGAAAGTTGCATATTTTGTAAGAAGGACTGATGTATGTCATCCTTACCTCTCGTGCCTGAGATCCTGGGCATATGCAGAGACCAGAATGGAAGACTGGGTGCTTTCCAGGCAAGAGGAAGCTGCTCCTCTGTCCCCTTCTTTTTTCACTTCTGCCTTCAACGTCTCTCCCCAAACTCACTCTCAATCTCTCTCTCTCTCTCTCTCTCTCTCACACACACACACACAGTTTCATACACACTCAGACACACATTCATAGTCGCACACTCACATTCACATGCACTCTCACACACTCACAGATTTACTCACACACACAGACACTCTCACACACATGCTTGCAGACACACAAACACACCACAACCTGACAGTTCATTCTGGGCTGTCCAGGCTGGGCCTGTCTCTAAACACTAAGCTGGGGGACATGGCTGAGAGCAGACAAATACTTCCAATAGAGGAAGGATGGCATCTCCCTGAACCTGGCTCACAAAGAACATTCTTGAGGGCTGAGCCTGAGTCTGTTTCCCCTGGGTCCCTACTCCAACACACCACTCCACGACAGTGAGAGTGTCGCCCACCTAGAGAATCTCTCCTGCTCCCCTGACCCTAGGGGAATTCACACAAAGGTAAATGGGCTGGTGGTTTAGGTTTAAAAAAAAAACATAGATAGTGGGTACAATGTGAGCTGGTCCTCCCTGGTCCTACTGGGAGTGGTTTCAAGAGCACACCATCCAGCTGCCCACTGATACTTCTGTGCGTATAGACAGACCTGGGTGGGGAGAAACAGGTGGTGAGGGTCTGTCCTCACCCCCAGCCCGACCAGGGCTCCATTAAAAACTGAGGTACGGTATGTAGCCATCCAGTCTCTCCAGGTGGCAGAGATGGTGGCCGTGCCTCTGCTGCCTCTTTGGATTTGGCGCTGTTACTTTACTGCTTCTTGTTTGAAATTTACATCTGCTTGTCTCCACATAAACTATAAGTGGAACTGTGATTCTAGAAGTAGCAAAGGTGTATATAACCTGTAGTGACAGCCCTGTGATGGAGTGGCTGGGGTTGGGCTACAATGCCCGTGCGCAGGTTTCTGATGATGGAGCATCATTACAAAACATACTCCTCACCACCCTCCCTTAGAGGAGTTGTCTCCAGGGGACCTTACTGAAGGCTTCATATTTTTTATAAAATGAGCTTGAAGAAGAACGAAAATCCAATGAGAAGGAAGTGTGAAGGACAGAGTTAGCTTGTAGTTGATACAAACGGGAAAGAAAGGAAAGTGTGCCTAGAACCTGAACTCTGGACAGAGTCACAATGCTCCCTGTGCTGGGTGTGCCTAGTAGAAAGAGTGCAAGGCTAGGTCCTCCGAGGAGGAACCAGAGAGTAAGGAAGGGATAATGGGAGAGGCAGGGGCTGGTCCCCCCTCACATGCTGGGGGAACAGGCCCTGTGGCCCTTGGTGAGAAGCCAAAGAGAACCAGGAAGGAATGTGGTTTCTTCTCTTACCCTACAGTGGGTTCCTTTAGGTGGGGGAGGAGGCACATGGGTGGGATAGGGTGGGGAAGGGCTCTCTGGTGCTGTTCATGCTGTATCCACTCAAAAGATAAAACCAGGGCTTGAGTGGCCATGGCTGGTGCCTTGATACTTTGTTCAAGCATGAAAACATCCCTAACATTTGTTCTCTAGCTTTAAAATCAAAATAAAATGATGATATCATCCCCCAATATAAAACACTGCTGTGTCCAGACAAGTGACTCAGGTAAATACTAACAGGAAGAAAACCACCCAACAAGTAGCCCAGTAGCACTGCCCAGCCTCTAGACTGCAAGAAGGAGAAGCAGGACCCAGGGCACAGACCTCTTTGGGGGTCTCCTGGTGGCACCGGTTGCTGTTCCACCACAACTCCAGGGCAGCCACCAGGCAGGCGAGGAGGAGGCCAACAGCCAGGATGCAGAAGACACCGGCAAAGCTGTGCAGCTTGAGGGACTTGCCGTCAGCCTGGGCACTGGCATGGCTGGTGAGGTCACAGCGGCCTGTGTGAGGCCACCACTTCTGCTTAAGCACATCCAGATCCCCGGTGTCTTGCAGCTCCAGGATTCTGCAAGACACAATCCACATGAGCTATGGGGGCCTCAGCCCCTTCCCCCGCCCCGACACTGGCCCCACTGCAGACAATGATGAACCATCATCGCAGCTCTCTGCCTAAACTTCCCCCAACCTAATCCGTTTTCCACTCTGCAGACAGAATGCTCTTTCCAAAATCACATCAGGTTTTGTCACTCTTCTCCCCATAAGCCTCGATGCCCTCTCCCACCCTGTCCCCCTGGCCAGGGATAAAGTCCAATAGCAAAACACGTGGGATCCTGAGGCACTCTCTGAGGATGAAATCAGGAAATACAGAAATGGGTGGGACACATACTTAGTCTGTGGACTTAGGATGTTCATGCTTACAAAATGCTTTCTCTCAAGCTTCAATAACTGTATCCTAAGTCACTCCCACTAGGATTCACCAAATCACTCATTCATTTTTTTCGATATAAGGAGTATCTTTATTGTACCAAGTATGATGTTCAACACCGCTGAGCTTATGGTCTAGAGACACATATACAAACATGAAAACAATCAGAGTATCAATGTGCAGACAGAGCTGTGACCATACGATGAAATGAAGGTGGAGTGCTAGGAAATAGTGCCCTGGGATGATGGCTTAAGCTGGAGGCTTAGGGGAAACCTCATCAAGGAGGTGACAGGAAAGTGTTAAGAAGTATTCCAAGTGCTTAACAAATTGTATTCGATCCTCATGTCAACCCTTTGAGATGGTTACTTCCACTTTCCCATTTTTACAGAGAAGGAAATTGAAGCACCGAGAGGTGAAATATTTTGCCACAGTCCCTTTATGGTTGGTGGCAGGGTTAGCATTCAGCAAGGAGACTAGAACTACATTTGAGATGAGGTAAATGTTCTACATGTCTGAGAAGCTAAAACGTGGCCAGTGAGACCGATGAGGGGTGCGGTGCATGAAGAGGAGGAGGTTGGAGATGAAGACAGGAAAGTAGGCGGAACCAAGAACACAGGCTCTGAAAGAGTGGGAGTTTGGATTTTATCCTGCTTGCAAATGTGCGGCAACCCCCACTGTTCCCATATTCCCCACGTAGGTGCCTGGGTGGCAGTTTTCCTTTGTTGTGCTATTTTAAGGCCTCTCCCTATAATTCAGGGGTCTGAACAGTGAGTTAATGGTAGCTGGTAGCCCCCAGGCTCCTCACACCTAAGCTTTTCCATTTGGGGAGGAGGGTCTTTAAGCTCAGTCTATGGCAATACATTCAGCTGACAACACTCTGGACCTCTGGCCCCTCTGGGTGTATACAGTTGGAAAGTGGTGGTTCTTTAAAACCAAGAGAAACTCATTTTCAATTGCCCAGCTGAGCAGTGCCTTGGATCTGCATTTCAGGTCAACTGTGACACAGGCTGAGGCTGAGCTCAGTGTCCATGCATGGGCTGTCACTAGTGGACAGGGAGGGTAAAAACCTGAGAGGGTTCCTTGACCTGTCAGCATCATGGGTGAAACAGCATGGCCTCTTGCTGCCTGGGAATACCCTGACTCAGTACACAGAGTAGGCTTTGGAAGCACCAGATATCAGCTGGCTGTCCTCAGATAAGTGACTTGCCCTGTTAATCTCAGCTTCCTCATCTTTGCAACAAAGACCCTGGATTCCCAATAATTGAGTAGATCCTTTGGGACAGAGGCTATGTGTTACTCTCCATGATTCCCCCCAACAAAGCACAGTGGCCAGCACAAACTTGGGCCATCTATTGGATATTTCTTGCATCAATAAATATATGGATTTATTAACTGAATATTAGAAACAAATCTAAACTAAAATGGCCATGGTGAGATAATGAGAAAATGTCCATTAAGTGTCCAGGATACAGATCAGCACAAAAGATTTAGGATGTGGCTGTGCATGTAGAAGCTTGGTCCTTGAGATAAACACATGATTTACATGGCTGTATTTGTGTGGCATGGGATGATCAGTATGCAACTGAGGCCAGAGATCTCTCACATGGCACTTCCCATGATTAACTGGGTAGCTATAGTATCCTGCTACCTCAGTGGCTGAGGACATGTTAGGGAAGCTGCATGTCTGTATGCCCACTGGTTCATGCCGACCGGCCATTCATTCTGTCTGGTAGATATGAGTAGTCTGGGCCTCTGGGATGTTACAGAAACTTCAGGTTGGATATGCAGGACCTCCGGGCCTCAGAGGAGACTTGTGGCTGAAGTCCTGGTTCATCGTGGGGAGTCAGCCAAGTTGCATGTTCATTGACGCAGATTCTGCTCTGATGGACACCAGCTCGTACCCAGACTCTGACATCATACTAGCCATATTACCAAACCTCTCCACTTGAGCTCTCTCATCACTAAAATCTGAGATCACAGTAAATGCACCTACCTCAGAGAATTATTGTGACAAAATGAAAAGAGGGAACACATGCCAACTGTTCAGTTGAAGATCACAAAAGCTGGTTAACGGCTGCTGTCTAGTAGCCATATTGACCAGCAGTCTTATTGGCCCAGTACTGACATGAGCTGCCTTTTACTGACAACATAGTGGGAACTGATGAATTCACATGGTTTTACTCCTCATAAGAGCTCGCAAATTAATTCTTACTATGTCTGTTTTACCTATTAAAGACCTGAGGTTCAGAATATAGATGATTTGCCCACAGTTGCAGTTAGTAAGTGGCAAAACTCCTCTTCAGAGCCAGGCCATGCTGACCTGAGGGGCCATGATCTTTTCAGAATACCAGGTGATAGTGCAGCCAGCCTGCTCTCTGAGAGTCAGGTTCTGGCATAAGGGATGGTGAGACTGGCCAGAGCACACTGCGGGGCCAGATTCCACTCTCCTGCTCATTCACTGCAGTGTCAAGCAGGCTGCTTTATTTGGCTGATGTGTCTCGTCTTTTGGCTCCTTACAATTGTATGCATTTTTTTATACCCAATATTATTCCAGGACAAAAGTAAGACAATTTATAGGAAAACATCAAATAAAATAAAAACAAAAAAAAATTTAAATATGTAAGCAACAGAAGAAAGATAAAACAAGTCACAGGCACAAAATGACTCCTAGAACGAGGCTAAACTAATGCACAGCATAATAATCTATACTGCTTATGAGGGAGCCAGAGCTAATAGCCACTTCCTGAAGCCAGTTTTTCTACTTTCCAGACAGATATAATTGCAGGTGCTTTCCTTCAATCAATATTTGTGGAGCCTGCTACACAATAGGTGCTCTATAAATGGGTATTAAGTTGCTAAACATTTATTGAATGCCCACTCTGCATGCCATGGTCCATAAATGGGCTATAGCTCTTAAACCCCACCATACACATAAGTTGTAGCCTATAGGCCCTGTCCTTTGCCAAAGCAGGGAACCTCAGACAAATTCAAAGAAATAGCTTAGTTCCCAGGACTAAGGGAGAGAGGGTTACAGTAGTTCTAGACAAGGCTGGGATCTTTTATTTACACAAGACCCTTTTTTCTGTTCATGACATGGAGCATTGATTTCTGGACCTGACACCTTGCTCCTCTCAGGTATGCCACAGCTGGGGACAATTCACAGTTCTGCATGCACCAAACAACAGAGCATCTTAAAGAGGCACTGGAAGCAGTCAGTTGACAACCTGAGGTCTGAGCATCCCCCCAAGTAGACAGCCATGTGCACAGGCCAGAGTAGACATTGCTTCCAGCCCACAAGGGGCTTCAATATATAGAGAGATGACATAGTTGAGGAAGCCAGCACAGCACACTGGGGACATTTACCTGTAGTCAGAGCACATGGTCTTCTGATTCAAGCAAAGAGTAAAAAATCACCTCTTGCCAGAATAACAAGGAAACTGAACTACCCATTTTTGTTTATGATGACACCTGGGGCTTGGGAAGCAGCCCACAGTGTCTGTTCGGAGACATTTTTAATAGAGCCCAGGGTCAGCAAGTGAAGAAAAGATCACAGGCCTGTTCCAGGGCAAGTCTGCTTCTTTGGGACCCCACATTCCCACACTGGCCCTGATCCATTGCCCTCTGGAGCCACACAAAGGACATCAAAAGTTTTATACATCCAGCAAATCTTAAATACTGAGGGTGAGTAACCACTCACTCATCTCTTCCAGGTTGAGTATTCCCAGGTCCCCCTCTAACCTTGTTTGAAACCCCCATTTCCCTGACTCCATTGAACAATCCAGCCAAAGTCCAGCTCTCTCTTTTATCTATGTGTCTCTCCTTTTTCTGTGCATCAGCATTCACTTTAGCAGGCCTTCAGGAGATCTCTGAGCAGAGTGAGTGCACAGGGACTCCATGCTTCCCTCCCTAGGGACCCTTGTGCTTCTGTGAGCTCTCTCCTAAGACACATTAGTTATCTGGTGCTACTGTTGCTGCTGCATTGCTCCATAAGCTCCCTGACCATGTGCTCCAGAAAGGTGACCACGGGTTGCTGGTCTTTGGACTGCACCAAGCTTTCTGTCTCAGAGCACAGGCTGAAGTAAACGTCAAGAACACTAGTGTGTTACACATGTTGAGAGAGAAGCCATTCTCTCATCAATTGCCTTTAATCTGAACAATTGATAAATCACTACTCCTTTTCCTGTCATCTCTCTCTCTGTTCCAGGGAGCAAATGGAGATACAGAATGTACACTTAATTAAAATCCAGAGAAAACACAAAAGCCTCATTTAACTTAATTAGTTCTACCCCTTTTCCCAGTTTTGCAAATGAGCCTCTGAATGGATGAGTCAGAGGCTCTCCTCCTCTGCCTTCCCCAAATGGGGCTTAGGCTCAAGTGTTCATGATAAGAAGATCCCAGTCAAAATCCAGAAAGTAGGAGATGGAGGGTGGTAGGTAGGACAGCAACATGGGCATAGCACTGGGGATCAACAGACCTGCATTCTCCTTCCAACTCTGATGGCAGCTGACTGAGTGACCCTAGGTTAAATTGATAACCTCTAATGATGCCTGCCCCTCCAAATGAGTGATCCTCAGTGCTGGAATATGTGCACTGACCAGGCAACTGGGATTTATCCCTGAGCCTGTCCACCTTATGGGCCTTTTCATTCGGATACTTCTGCCACATTCTGGGTGTTGGCGGACCAACGCAGAGCCTGTCCTATGGATACTCCTCTAGGCTCTATAGTTCTGCTTACTTCACCCACCAGGATGTCACCTTACAGACATGTATGAGTGGTGGGCTTAAGGCTTAGATGTCCCTGGGAGTAAATAAGAGCTCCTGTTATCAGGCTGTTTCAAGGCAAAAGGCCATTGAGTTTACCCATGCTTTTCACTTCCACCCTCTCTGGTAAGGCTAGCTCACCTGGTCAAGGACCAAGGTAAGCAACTGTGGCAGAAAACAGGGGTAGCTGATGACAGAATATTTTACTCAAGGGGGTTGACCAGGGATCCAGAAAAACCCTTTAGAAACTTGATCATGCCCCAGGGAAAATAGAACATCAGGGCCAAGGGATGTATTCACACCAGCAAAAAACACGGGAAGCTAAGTATAAGCCAATGCCAGCTAAACACACTGTATTCATTTCTGGTGGGGGTATCCATGTGCATTGTCTCAGGCTGAATACTCCTACTGATGCAGCCCTTCTCCACTCTTCTCCCAACATGCCTACCATTTTTTAGCAATAATTACCAGGAAGCTTATCTGGGGAGGGCAAGGAAGAGGCATGTGATGAGGGCCAGGTCCCTCTCTGCCCCAGCAGATAGTATCTACCCCCTAGTCTATGTACAGGTAACTATGGAGTCCATCTGTTTCTCAGATCCCCATTTTTTTCAAGTCTCTGCATTGACTCTTCCTACTTTGCATTTATCTTAAGAAGTAGATAATGGTGGAAAGATGGGACTAGTTAAAAGAACATGTATGAATGACCCTTAGAGATGGACAACAGTGTGGTAATTGACTGTAGGAGTGGGGGGTGGGATGGGCAGAGGAAGGCAAAGGGGTAAAATTGGGACAACTATAATAAAATAACAATAAAAAATCTTACAGTAATTACTGGGCCCTTGCCAGATCCAGTTAATTATTCATTAATTTAAAATTACTGGGCCTATCTGGCTAACTCCTACTCATCCTCACACTACAGGTGTCATCTCCTCTGGGAAGCCCTCCCTCTTCTCCTGGGTCTGATCAGATACCCTCTTCCATCCCCAGAATATCCTCTCTATCACACTTGCTGCCCTGTGCTGACATTGCCTTCTCACGTCACATTTCGCAATGAGAAGACCACACACCTTCATGGGAAGGGACCATATACTTCTGCCTCTGTAGCCCAGGACCTGGCACAGAACTAGTCAGGAGTGGGGGGAGGATCAAGTGCTGCCACACAGCTGGTGCTGAGGAAAAGGTGATGAATAAACAAGTTTTTGCTGGCTCGCAGCTCCTAAGAGGAGGTTATCCTCCCACCCCAGGAGAGGGGGCTACCGGAGCTGCACTGATGACTGTGCCTACCTCTGGGAGAAGAGGTCCCTGTAGGGGCTGCCATGCTGCAGGGCAATCCCGTAGCCCTTGCTGCTGACACTGTTGCTGATGACAGTCACAGAGCAGTCGTCGTCAGTCAGGGCTGCGTACTCCACCACGGCCACATCCCACAGAAAGGCATAGTTCCCCTTCTTTGCCTGAAAGATCAAAGTTATCATGCAGTCAGACAGGCCTGGCCTACTGTATTAGTTTCAAGCAGTGAGGCATCTCGATGGTGGGATTTGAGGGACCCTCCTAAATAGCTCTTCCTGTCCACCAGGCAGCACAGCAAACTCTCCTCCAATTTTCTGGTCTACAGATTCCACCACTGGTTGATGCCATTGACTGAGATTAGACAGAAAAGGATGGGATGGTGCCTCTAGTAGGCTCAGCACAGCATATCTCACAGTGGCTTGGATCTATTTCTCAGGGTAGCAGGCTCGCTTAGAAGGCAAAAAGTCTGACCCCAGGAAACTGAGATTTTTCTGACCACAGAGTTAAAGGGAGCATAATATTATCCACTTAATACTTCTACACAAAACCTGACTGGACTCTGCTTAGAGTGAACATGGAAGATAGCCCCAAGTTCAGTGACCCCAAGTGGCTGTGACTAAATATCCAAATCAGGACCTTAGTATGTATGGGGAAGAAACCAATAAGGACACGGTCCTGATATTATGGTGCCAAGCTGGGTTTCTGCCATTTGCCTTTCACTGCCCACACAAGAGCATGCACATACAGACACACCTGCAAAAATGCATATGTATACACACCTGCATGTGCACATTCATGTATACACATGCACACATGTATGTATATATGTGCACAGACACACACACAGGATCACGTGTTTAGTGTCACTGTTTCTGTATCAGTGCAATAGTTGCAGATTATCCCTTCAGGAATTTGCCTGTGGCCACAGCTGAAGTCCCACTCCAGTGCAAATATCCAGAGCAGACGTTCAATTCTATCCTGAGCCATTTTGTCTGGAGTTTGGACCTCCAAAAAAAATGTAAGCTGCTTTGCATAATGGAAGGAGATGCAAACTAGAAATTGTCACTTGGCCAGCTTAAAATAGAGTATAATCTTCTTAATGCAGCAGAGGTTTTGGTTTTATTTCTATAGTGAGCGTACACCTCTTTGCCTCTTCCGTCCCTCCCACCATAGCTTCCACGGATGCTAGAAGACCTCAATCTGGGCTTGGTGTCAAGACTGAAATATCACAGGCAACAAAAGACCATGCTGGCAAGCTATCAGCTTTATGGTTTTGCCAAGGGTGTGTTCTTGTCTTCTTCCTTTATCCAGTTGAGTCTTTATGTCCACTGAGACTTTCCAAAGAGTACCATAGCTGCTTACGTGAAGCTAGTCAAGAGTTGACTTACTTTGGAACCCAAAGTGCCAATTGTCCAGAATGGCTCATTTTTTTTCATCACAAGTTTTCCATCAGAAGGATTTCTGAGCAGAATGTGGCATCCTTGGGACAGGCTGCTCCTGGCCAGTCATGCAATTTTGCCTAGTGACATTTTAAGGAATAACACACATCTGTGCCACTCATTGACTTTCACCTCAGGAAGCAATTGAAGGATTACATCAAATTCTCATTCCTTGGCCATCCTAATTTCTGAAGTCCCTAAAGGACTCTGACCCAGGTTGCAAAATTACACTTTTCTCTCTCCCTCCATGTGGGAAGATAACAGTGTTTGAAACTTTTTTCCTGCTGACAAACAAGCTTTCTCATGAAAAGATATACACTTTCCACCTCCTAAGAGTAACCAAGCCTCTCAGCAAAATGTTGACTTATGACCTAGTATTTGGCTTTAGTCTGACTTTGGAGCATTTTGCATCCATGCTCGCAATTCGACATGACAATCAGACATTGTTATTTGTACGATTTCAAAAGGGCATGTCATGTTGAAGGAAGAATTAAGATCAGGTTTGCTTCTACCTTTCAAGTGATGTTCCATGAAGGGAAAAGAAATAAGCTAGACCCAGATCTAGTGGAAACTGGTTCTGACAAATGCTTGGCATGGCCATTTTGATGGGGCACTTGGATTTCTTCCTCAAGCATTTGTGGCTCCTGTTTGGGCTAAGTGACAGGTGAGCACAGTTTCATGAAGGGAGTTGCTTATACAGTCCTGCTGGCCTAAGCTGAGAAGGCAGAAAGCATATGCATGGATACTGGCAATGTCTCAGCAGCAAATCCCTGCTAACCAGGAATACAGCTGAGAAGAGAGGGGGAAAGTGTTATAGAAGTTCTCTTCCTGAGCTGCTAAATAGCAGCTTGACCCTCAATCTCCTCATTTATAAACAGGGACTAGATTTACTATTATGTATGCTTCAAGAAGGACGTGGCTTACACCCAATCTCCCTGACAATGCCACAAGAGGGAGGCGCCCGAGGAACCGATGTACCACATCTTGTATGTGGGCCAAATCAGAAGCTCCAACTCCAGTGAGGCTCTACTCTTACAAAATACTCTCCATCCTGAACCTCCTTTCCTCACTTCCTCAGCACCCCAGAGCTTCCTCCTCACTCAGCTCCATGTTGAGTAAAATGCAGCACCAACACCTTCCCTGGGCTTCTCAAGTTCATTGGTTTCAAATAAAACTTTCTGGACCTCGCAGAGTCTCCCTGATCTTCCTGATGTGTCACAGACCCTGTATGAGACAGAAGACTTCTTAGATTTGACCATGTTCTCAGGAACAGTTCAGAATCAAGCTCTAAGAAATCCAAACACCCCACCCATCATGACTATATTGCATAGACCCTCTTCTTATCCCATACAGAATGAGCTCTATACTCCTCCCAAATTCTAAGATGTACCTCTTCCTTGAAGGATCAGAAGAACTGGTTTTCCATGTGGTCCCTGATAATTATGTATCTACCTTTTTACTCTGTGCTGCTTATCCACAAGCTTCTATATATGTAGGGGACAGCAAATATATCAAACATCTGCCTCCAGGAGAGCCAAGAATCTCCTCTCGCTCCTCTCCTCACACAAGCTCATCCTCCTCCTTTATTGAGCCTGAGTATTCCCCCCATTTTGTTCTGAGGTCCAGCTCCCTCTTTTGTGGGCTCAGCCTCTGATCTATTATTTAATTCCACTGGGAAGGCATTTAATTTCTTTCCCTCTTCCTCCAATCTCCATCCCCTCAACTCCATGCCATACATCTCTCTCACTATGAGACATTTTCCTTTCCTACTTATATTAACTACTCCTTTTTGTTGAGGATTTTTTCCCAGACTCGGGAAGACAGAGTATTGGCAGGAATCTAGTCTCTTCTCAACTATGTTCCATTTTCTATTCCTCACAGAGGGAGAAGCATGAACACAAACACCTTCCTGCAGGAGCTGGGAGTCCCTTGGCCAAGTGGCACAACAGATCATTAGAGTTGGATATCTTGCCACCTCCTATTCATACCAATGTGTTCTTCCTTGTGTTTCCCAGTCCTGTCTTTCCCCACTTCCCAGGTGGCTATAGAGAGTGAATTGAAGAAGGATGTTAACTGAGAAGAGGTATGACAGATGGTGAGCTGTTTACAAATAGTTTGTTGACATTTATTTTGTAATGCCTAAAAGATCAAAGTGATATCATAGATTTCTGTTCTGTATTAAAACAAACAAAAAAATACTGTATTTCACCTCTCTAATGGGTTAAGTTACCTTTACCTAGCTTACTCATTTACAATATTAAATGTATTCTGAGTTTCCAATCACTGACTTAGCATGCATCAATGCCATGGAATGTGCCTGTTGGAAGGTAAGGCTGGAGACAAGACCGGTGGATTCAGCTTAGCCTCCCCTGAGCCTTTGGCTCTATACAAAGCCCAGGTGCACAAGGCAACACAGAGAGCCCTTTACTGCCAGCTCTGCGGTCCTGGGACTAGAGCCCAAGATTCCTCCAGGAGCTGTGGAAAGCACTTGCAGATCATCTAAAAAAGTGGAGGGTTGAAAGTTAATATCACCTAGAAATATAATTTACCATTTCCACATTTTTAAATTGATAATATCCAGTGTTAGTAAGGTTTTGATAAAGTGGGCTATAGGCATCAAAGAAAGCCATAATCCTTATGAAAGTAATGCAGCAATATATAACATAAACATTTAAAACTACTTATATCCTTTAACCTAGCAAATTGGGGATTTAACTGAGTAAGTAAGCCAAATCCATCTATGTATCTTAAAGATATGACAGATATTTTAAACCTAGATTTGCCTATAAAGTAAACATGGGAACAATTTAAATATTTAATTTAGGGAAGTAATCTAATAAATTATGGTTCACAAATTTGATGAGTTTTTATGCAACAGATAATTATAAAGATTAAGCAGAAATATAGAAATACACACACATACATACACACACATATATATGGTATACAGCCATGTAATATGAAAAAGAGACATTTATTGAAGATATAAGATACAAGAGACACTGTAAATAGAACAATAATGGCCCAGTCCCCTTCAAAGTAGGCACTTTGGGATCTCACACATTTCTCCCAATCACCATCAGCTTTCCTGTCATCTTTTCCTGAATCTCACTGATGACCTGAAATCTCTTCCCTTTCAAAGGTGATTTTAGTTTTAGGAAAGGTCAGAAGTCACAGGGTGCCAAATCTGGGTTATGGGTTGGGGGGGGGTCTCAGTCACCTGAGTGATTTGATGTTTCATCACAAAACTCTGCACATGATGTGATGCATGAGCAGCTGCATTATCATCATGGAGCTGCCAATCACCAGTTGCCCGGAGCTGCAACCTTTTGAATCATCTGAACAGTTTTCACAGAGGAATGGTCAATCTTAATGCAAAGTTTGATGCAGATTTGTTGCTCTATTTGCTCAATCATTTTGAATGTGACAGCCACGCAGTACACATGCTCACTCAATGGCATCTACTGCCCCCACTGACTAGTACAGTGAAGTTGTCATTGTTCACACATATGCGTTCCAGTACACTCTCCTCGGCTGCCAGGTTACATCAATGTTATGCAAACCATTCTTATGTTAACAATGGCTGGGCTTTTTCCAGACAGCTTTTGTTTTTACATACATAAAAATGTGTGTATATAATGAAAGTAGTAGAAAACAGTAGGATGTGTTCACTGCCATTAACATTCTGTATACATGTGAAATATAATATGCCCAAACATAGACAG